CTATTTATTTATTTTATAAGCGAAGGGCTTATTGGCTTTATTGAAGAAAATCGAGGCAAGAGGAGACTTACATGGATGTAAGGTTAACAGACAATTTAGGATGAATGTTTTAAAAATGTTAAAACATTTAAAACATTTAAATAAGGTTAACAGACAATTTAGGATGAATGTTTTAAAAAGAAATAAGCTTAACAACAGACAATTTAGGATGAATGTTTTAAAAATGTTAAAACATTTAAAACATTTAAATAAGGTTAACAGACAATTTAGGATGAATGTTTTAAAAATGTTAAAACATTTAAAACATTTAAATAAGGTTAACAGACAATTTAGGATGAATGTTTTAAAAATGTTAAAACATTTAAAACATTTAAATAAGGTTAACAGACAATTTAGGATGAATGTTTTAAACCATTTAAGTATTTTAAAACATTTAAATGTAACATCTAAAACATTTAAATGTTTTAAATGTATAAGTCGTAAGTATGCTGGGATTAACATTTCAGTGTTGAAAAATACTCAAGTAATACCATGGCTCTACACCTCTTTAGAATTGAAAATTTTGCATTCACCTTTATTGAAAACTAGACCTGATTATTATAAAACTGCGGTCATGCTATTTTAAAACCACTTATATGAATTTTTAAATGAAACTTGATAAATATGATAAATAAAATCCAAAATATATTAACTGTCATCCAGTTGTTTTAATTAATTGGTTGAGTTATTTATTTAAGAAAAGCTTATCTAGAGAGTATTATAGTCCTTTTATATTATGAATTATAGAATTATCCAATATGTAAATTAGATTTTTGATAATTAGACTTTCATCAAAACAATTCAAAAGGCTTTTTTTTTTTTTTTTTTAAGTCCATCACGCTGATTTTAGATTAATAAATTTTAATCATGATTTTTTTTAACTTTTTTAACTACACTACAAATTTCACATTATAAGTCATATTGAATTTTAATTATTGGTATCTATTTCGCGCAGACGCATTAGAGAAGAAATAGAAGAAATAACATAATAGATTCTTTGAAATTTCCTATTTTTCTTTTTCTCCTTTTTCTCTAGTTTTTTCACCCTAATTTTAGTTTGGAATTGCCATTGTTTATCAGCGGTAGTCCCCTATCTCCTACTTTCTACTATCTCTCTTGCTTCTTCTTTTTTTAATCTTTATTTGCTTTAATAATCTCAGATTTATTTTTCCTACAATAGATCTTTTTTATTATTATTATTATGGTTGGTTGTCTCCATATTTGAAGTTTCTTTTTGTCCCTTCTTGTGAGGTTTTATTAATAAATAAAACTATGATATTTAATTTTATTTGGTTGGAGACTTTATATCTTGATTTGCAGATGTGGATTTTCAATCGATGGAGCTTGGTAGTGTGGCTTGTTCTATTAATGTTATTGGTGCTTAGCGACGGAAACTCATTTGTATTCATCATATGTTGCAAATTATTGGAAAAGCAATCAAGTTATAGAAGATCCAGAGGAGTTATTTTTTTACGTCCAAATCAATTAACGGACTAGTTACTACTATGAAGATTTATATATTTTGTCAAGATCAACTCCAAGTGAAAAGATCTAATATTATATATTTTAGTTTTAGTTTCATTATTCAAAAGTATATGAATTTCCTTCTTTAGTTAAAAGATCAACGAACTCTATTAGTTAGTAAAATTCTATATTTGGTATATATGCTTATTTGTAATTCTTGATATTGTTATTAATAAATTACATTTTCAAAAAAACAAAAAAAAAAGATTTGGAATTCATTACCAGGAACTGTCTAAGGGCTCAGTCACAACTGAGGCTACTCACTCCTCCCACAGATGCAATTAGTGGGTAATCGAACCCGAAAGTTTTACCAATATGTCCAGTCTGCGTTGCCAACTGAACCACAACATGTAGGTAACACAATAGATTCTTTGAAACATATTTCTATTAAGGAATAAGGTTCAATTTGCCCATGAATTTGGGTACAATATACAATTTGCCCAAAGTTAACTTTTTGTATAATTTGTCCCTGAATTTGCACCACAAGAAGAAAATTTCCAGTTTTTTAAGAAATTTTCTTATAGTTTTAACTAATAAAAATTACTTAAAAATTCAAAATTAGAAAATAAAAAATTATTTAAAAATATAACAATAATTATAAAAATTTATGGTATTTGATTTAAAAATAATTTGATAAATATTTGACTTCAAAAAAAAATTATAGAATTAAAAAAGATTCGATTATATTGAAATATTTGTTTATAAAAATATTTATTATTTATTATTTAATTATTTTTAATTATAATGTCCCAAGTGTAAACTTTTTGTATAATTGTCCTGAATTGCACCAACAAGAAGTATAAATTTCTTATCCAGTTTTTTAAGAAATTGTTCTTATAGTTTTAACTAATATAAAATCTTAAATAATTCAATAATTAAGAAAATAAAAAAATAATGTAAAAATATCAAATCACATTTAATTATAAAAATTTATGCAATTTGATTTAAAACACTGAGAGATCTTGAAATAAATATATATATGAGCTGTCACAACAAAATTATAGAATTTAAAGAAAAGATTCGATTATATTCGAATATTTTTTGATAAAACATATTTGGGATAGTTATATAACAAGCTTATTTTATTTTTAATATTTTTAATTCACATATTTATTTAAATCAAATATTTTAATTACTTTTTAATTCTAATTCATTTATATAAATAGTTTATTAGTATATAAAAATTGGCATTTTGTACGTTTTCGTGGCGAAGTGTTAAATATGATGAAAGTATTATAGACAAATGACAAATTGTACTATGTTTTTGAAGCTCTGAGTTCTAACATATAATGAAATAAGAACTTATATTGTTTAATATAAATTTTTCCTTTATAAACAGATTAAAAATTAAATCTAAATTTTAAACAAAAATTGAAAAATTTTTTTAGGTCTTCGCACGTTAAAAACTATGTTCTTTAAGCATAGAGGCCAAGTGATAATATATAAATATAAAAAAATAATAATAGAAGAAATTCAATAATTTATTTTCTAATATTCTATTCCACTTTGCGATGAGTTAAAGACTAAGGAAATAAATATTATTTGTTCTATATTCGAATAAAGTAACGGGTTCAAATCTGATGTACAAATATTTAATTACTTTTTAATTATATTTCATTTATATTAAATAGTTTTTAGAATAAAAATTGGGCATTTTGTACTTTTGGTGCAAGTTTAAATAGTAAATTATACAAAGACAAATTGTATATTGAACCTTATTCCTCCCATTAATAATAAGAACTTAATTGTTTAATATAATTTTTATTTTAAAAGATTTTAAAATTAATCTAAATTAAAAAAATGAAAATTTTTTTGTCTTGCACGTTAAAAACTATGTTTTTTAAGCAATAGTCAATGATATATAAATATAAAAAAATAAAATAAAAATTCATAATTTATTTTCTTAATATTCTATTCCATTGCGTGACGTTAATAAACTAATGGAAATAAATATATTTTCTATCCAAAAAGTACGGGTTCAAATCATTACTGAGTTTTTTAGGGAAAATTTTAAATATGTGTATAAACGTAGAGTTTTAATTATTATTATTTCCTAACATTTTATCAAAAACATTTCCAAATTTATAAAAATAAAATAATAAAAATAATTTATAAATACCCGTGCGTAAAACTCGGCATCACACAATTAGTTTATTGATAAAATTTTGTATTTATGATGATATAATTTATTATTGTTTCCTTTTTTTAAAAAGAAAAATAGATTATAGTAAGGAAAGAAGTACCATATATACTACATATTTGAATTGTTTGAAAAGCTTTAACCCAATTGATAACATTACAGGGTACATAATATGGATAGCTCTCCCTTTAACTCGTTAAATTGATCCTTCCATCCCACTTCACATATGAATGAAAAGACCAATCAAACTATACCACACTGACAAATTGTTAATATCTTTTAGCATATTGAAACTCTTTCAATATTATAACATAATAATTAAACTTATAAGGAAATGAATCCTATATATACTTTATATCCAAACATACATGTACGAAATTGTAAATTATTATAAAAAAAGGTTTAACTTTAATGAAATTGTATACTTTAAATTTTTTGTAGTCAACAATAATTGAGAAAAATAATTTAAAATTGGACCACCATGCAATCAATAATATCCTTATGATATTTAACTTTAAAATTTATTATTTTAAATTTTGATTTAATTAGTTTCTAATTTCCTTTAATTTCATTGACATGTGTACAGTGTCAATTTTAAACTTAATTAATTATTTGTTAAAAGAACATTATAATAACCATCAAAAATAAAATAAAACTATTGAATGAATATTTTCTTATCTATGAGAAAATTAAAATTTTTTGTAAACTATTATGAAATTTTCTTTGATATTTTCGGATTCATAAATATTTTTATTCAAATTTCATAGACAAGTATATGAATATGGAAGAAAATATATTTTATTTAATTGTCAATTATTTTTATAAATTTATAAATTATTGTGTTTAATTATTTTTAAAGAGGATTTTAAAATAATAATGAACATCATTTTTTGATAAATAATAAAAAATTATAAATCAATAACGAATATTTATAACTATTATATTTATATTATGTTATGTTTATTTATTGACGCCCATCACAATGTCGGTCATAAGTTAAAATACTAAATTAATATTTCGATGACCCTTTTATAATTTTATATTTAATTAAACAAGTAATTGCTAGTAACAATTAATGTATCAAAATATAGTAATAATTAACTGCTCCTAAAACATTTAATATGACTGAATAAACATTAAATTAACTAAATTAAATAGATGAGAATGGAAAAAATTAATTAAATGATAAATGATTATAAATAATCAATATTAATGTCTAGATTAAAAAAAATTAAATAATTAAATAATATAGGATATGAAAAGTGGACCAGGCGCTTCAGTCTTCATCTTCAGTTGGGGAAAAGGCAACCGGTCACTTTCATCATTTCATTTCTATCCCAATCAAAAATGAAATACTAGAAAACCCAAGTACAGTTTCTCTCTTTCCTTAATCTTCTTGAACTCTCTCCACTGCCAAACACTAATCACCACATGCACTAAATACTCTAATTTCTCTTTCTCGCCGGAAAATTCACACTATGACGATGGACGGACTTGAATCGGGAGGGATCAACGGCGGGGTCGACGGGAGCGAGAAGAAAGGGGTTCACCGGAAGGATGAGACGCTTTACAGCGTGCTTCACAGTTTGTTGGCAATGATCTTCGTGCCGGAATCCGGCAGTAGCGTTGCAGCGGAATCGTTTTTGCAGCGGATCAAGATCTCTGTATCCGAAAACGGTCCTCTTCTTAAAGATGCTACCAAAAACACTGGCCGGAAGGTTCTTCTCTGGACTCGCCGGGGTAGCCCTCTGCGGGCGCTCCTCGTGATCTCGGTAAGTACTGTTAATGTCGCTTTTTTAAGTGAATGCTTACTTTGCTTTTACTAAAACCGGACGTTACGTATGGTTGTGTTTTTAGTTGAGGACTTATCTATTAAGAATTCGATTCTAAATGAATTGCTATATTTGGTTTTTGAACTGGGTTTTTAGAGTTTGGTAATTTCTTTATGGAGAAAGAGTACAGAGGAAACAGAGCATCACCTAGTCTAATCATTGTATAATTTTAGTTTTTGGATTCTTTTGTTAATTCAATCAGCTTTAAGAGATCTTATACAAGTATAATGGATTTTGTAGAATTTTGGTTCAGAATGTAATAATTAATACATATGGAATTATGAAATATTTTCCTCGCTTGCCTTTGATGGAAGGATATGAATTTTAGAGATTTGAATTTCATAAATTCATAAATTTAATTAAATAGAAAATTTTTCATTGATTGTTGTATTGCAAAGTTTCCTAAGATTCTGTCCATCAATAATGAAATATAACGAACTTTACTGTGAAATTTGGTACTTTTTCCCTCATTGGCTAAAGACAGTTGGGTGTCTTTTATTGTTGTCAGTGTGAAGACGAAGTGGGTTTTGGCAATATCATCTTAGTGTCAGAAGATTTGGGTTCCATGATTTTTACTAGTGTTTTTATCTTATTCCTGGACTTGTTTTTCTCTTGATGCAAAGATTGGTGTGTAGTTTCTTGGAAGCTGACAGAAGTTTCAGTTGGTTAACTTTGTCATTATGCTTAAAATTTCATGGATAAAATGAGAGAGACTGAAATAGAAGTTCACCTGGTTTATTAATGTTGATTTCCCATGTTAATGAAACCATATTGTAATGTAGAACTACAAAGCTGTATTTCGGTTCACAGTGGGGGGACTGGGGAAGATATACTGTATATTAATTGCCTTCACCAGTTAACAGAGTCATGTGTCATGACATGAAATATTATATCCTACTAATTTAGATAAACATGAAAGGAACTATTGTTTGTCTTTCACTGTTCACCTCTGAGAAAGGACTCATTTGAAGATGACCTGGTTTAAAGGGCCCTGAGCTGACTGGAAAAGCTGAATTCTTCTTGGTTAAAGTGTTTTTTTTTTTTTTTGGTATACCAGGAAGTGTAATCACTCTTAGGCCATAGAGCGTAAAGGTTTTTTGCCCTTCCATTAAAGTGCACTTCCGAGGGATTGAGTTTATATTCTCATCCTTACGGGATAGAGGTCGCTTACCACTCCAACCAACATCTTATTGGGGTTAAGGTTATTTCACATCAATATGCTTGGGACAAGTATTTTAAGACAGCTAAGAAGTTATAGAAATGGAATTGAAGTCAACTTGTTGAGAATTGAGATGTATGAGTGGGATTGCGATGCAATTTTAAGAAATGAATGCATTTATGCGAGGAAGGGAGCAACATTACTGATGATTCAATTATAGGCAGGCAGTAGTGATGTACTAACGATGGGTAATTTTATTGAAGGGAAGATCCAACTAGGATAAGAGTTAGACAATATCAGCAACATGCATAAATGCAATGAGATAGAAACAATGAATTGTATCAAAGTAGGAATTATGGCACTAATTATAGATGGGATTCTTTCAGCTCTAACTAGTGATTGCAGATATAATCTTGTATTTAGTTACTATTAATTGATTTCTCTTCCTGGTTTGGGGGTCAACCACTCATTAAATTTTTGCAGTGCTATTGTAGTTGGTAACTAGTGATGATTCATCCAATTCATTGGTATTTCCTTGGCTGTGTAAAACTTCTGTTTCTACAGTGATTGAGGAGCAAGAATTTTCAGCATCAAAGAACTGAAAATTGCAAATGAATTATAAATGGAACTGACTGCACCATTGCCATATAACATGTTAAACAAATTTAAATTCCTTAGTACACCTGAAAGCTTACTAGGATTTTAAACTTTTATTTTTTTCTCCTGTTCTTTTCCTTATTTCTTCTGAATTATCTATTAAGTTTTCATTGCTTTGCATTTTTTCAAATATGGAATCCATGTTTCTATCTATCTCCACAGTTTATCATGATTGTTTATTTTCTAAAACCTTTGCAGGTAGGGACTATCACTCTTCTTACATTGACAGGATTGCTTGTCTTTATGCTTTTCTTTCTGGCAGCCACTGTCAATGCCATTGTAGTCTCTCTTCTCATTTCTTTGGCAGCTGCAGGAGGATTCTTGGCTCTTTTCTTTGCTTGTGTAACAGCTGTATACATAGGGGCATTATCAGTTGCTCTATTTGTTATTTCCACGACTGCAATTTCAGCAATCGTAGCTGTCCTGATAGCTACAGGTAGAGCAAAATGTGCTTTTCATTTTTACTAATCCCATGCTGTACAAATTTTTCTCTCTCTCATATTTGGTTTGGGACTCTAATTCAATGAACTTGAGGCATGAATTTTTACAACAATGGGCGTAGAACCTAAGCAATCGATCCTCTGGAATGTTTTTACCAAACACCACATCCTTTCCTAAGAACCTGACTGCTAGCCATCCTAAAAGAGGAAAATAAAGACTACAAGAGGGAAGACTATAATTATTCCAGTTGTCACACAAATCCTGAGGTGTGGAATGAAGCCAATTAATTATTCATGCTTCATAGAGAATTATTTAGTGTGGTTCAGTGTGACAACAAGAACAAATGTTTGATCCCAATCGAGTAGAAAAGTTAAAAATATATTATATTCGAGCCTATTGTTTGTGCTATCCTTATAGGGACTAGGGGGATGCTTAGTGTTTCAGCTTGGTATGCATCCATGAACATCTGGCCATGTTTGTTTGATGGTTAAAATGCTCGTGTGTCTGGACATACTTGCACCTGATACTGTTACTTATAACTTGAATTTTGCTATAGTGGCAATACATAGCTTTCTAATCTTGGCCCTGTGTGACATAAATATCATTGTTATGATAAGGAGTATGATTATGCTAAGCCTAATTCTGTTTTATTAGTATTTATTTTACAAAACCAATACGCCACAATTTTTCTTCTTTCTTGCTAGCAATCTGAAACTTTTGTGCAAATCAGGTTGGATTGGATTCTTCTGGACTGTCTGGTTGGTAACGAAGAAAAGTGTGGGTGTGGCGAAGCACTCACTGAGCATGACTGGATCGGCAATTTCAGCTTATTCTTCTGCTCGGCATCTGCGGCGCTATCATGAAGTAGATAAGGTATCAGATTGAGCCATGATGCAGCGAGGCCATGTGTGTAGATATCCCACTTTGCTCTCTCTCTCTCTCTCTCTCTATATATATATGGTGTTGTAGACTATATCCACTTTGCTCTCGCTCTCTCTTTCTCTCTTCTCTATATATATATAATATATTTAAAGTATATATATATTTGTAGCATCTTTTTCCCTTGTTCACTAAACTTATAAGTCTGGCCATAACGATAGTGGTATATATATATATATATATATATATATATTTGTACATCTTTTTCCCTGTTCACAACTTCATCAAGTCTGGCCACTACGATAGTGTTTGTTACCATGATCGTTGCTTATTTGTAGTTCCAAAGCTTTTGGTGGACATATCTGTTATTACAGTTTAGAAACACATATTTGTAACTTGCTTGCGTACTATTATTATATGTGGGTATGTAGCTTGAAAACAATAACTATTCGGAAGTAAACAGAGTGAAGATAGTTCATGTAGCGTGATTTATTATTTGTCACAGAATAGCATCATCTTGAATTTACATAGTATAGGTGATAATTTGATTTGTTTTTAAAGTTATATATAAATTTCTTGCATGTCTGCTGTTTTAATAAGAGTGAAGCCTTTTTAACAATACAGATAGTAGAAGCATAATTTGTTAGTCAAAACCAAAAAATGTTTTGTCGTTTTTCAAAATTCAGGTGGCAGTGAGCCAAAAAATCCAGTCTCGCAATTCACTGCGTGTAGATGAGTTGAGAGCATCACTTAATTGTCATCAAAGGACCCGAAATTTTTTGATGTCAAATTTGATGTTTATCAGTAAACAATATAATAAATATTAATGTAGTGGATATATAATATTAATCTTTAGGAAAGTTTTGGCTGTCAAAACAGGTCAGATATCAGGTTGAACATAAACTCTTTCAATACACAACAATTATGATTAATACGAATATGATCTATTTAATAATTATATTAAATATTTAAACATAAACATAATATGCAAATTAAACGAATGGTATGAATAAGATATGTATAGTCCATTTAATTAAATCGCTCATATATAAGATAAAAAATTTAGCTAATTTAATTAAATAGGTCTATACCAATCGAAAAATTTAATATTATATATAACATTATCTTTTTATCTTTAGTTAAACGGATTGGATAAATCATGTGAATCAACTCATGATACAACTTGTTTAAACTCTTAATATATAAGCGTCACTTGTTTACGATATGAACACATTTAGATTCAAACCTAACTTGCTTAATTTTCATATTAGGTGAATCGTATTTCTATGTCATAACTCATGTCTTGGTACCTCTAGTAAAGTTATTGATGACCAACAACAATAAGTGTTGCGATGAGTGGTTTGGTATTCTTTTGGCAACGAGTGTTTTGATGAGTAGTTTGGTACTCTTCTCTCTTAAGTAAGGTCCAGCATTCAATCTTTATGAATGGATCAAATATTCGTTAGAAGTATTTTGTCCTTAGTGGGTCGACCCAATGCAAATACGATTTTTTTCTAGTCCAGTGGGCTAGAAAAAAAAAAAGAGCAAAAAGAGGAGAATAAAAGAAAAACCTAACACAATTGAGATTGTTGCCTAAAGGTTTTTATCCTTTAGTAAATTGCATTTTTCGAAAATTAAATTTATATTCTCGTCTTTACAAAAATTGAGATATATGATAACTTATTTGTTTGAAATTTAATTTCAAATGATAACGATCAAATCCATTCCTTAAAAATCAAAGCAATTAATGCAAAAAAAACTACACTTGAATATACTAACATTTACCATATTCATATAACTTCTTTTTTCTTCACCAAGTAGACATATACATACCGAAGCGTGTAAAAAAAAAAAAGAATAGCTTTTTTTTTTTTTTTTTTTTTTTATATACTACATTTATACCATACTTCCATAATAACTTCTTTTTTCATTAAAAACAAGTAAGAACATAAAATCAATAACCAAAAGAAGACGTGTAAAAAAAAAAAAGAATAGCTTTTTTTTTTTTTATTTTTATTTATAATTTAATTTATAAATTTATGCAAAAGTATTTTTATATATATTATATTTATAATATAATTTATAGATTATGCAAAAGTGGTCAGTTCATTTTAGATATGAATATTTTTTTTTTTTTTTTTTTTTTTTGATTTATAAATTTATGCAAAAGTATTTTTTATATTTTTTATAATATATCTGATTTTGAAAAGTGGTCCATTATTTTAGATATGAATATTAATAATGTTTTTCCAGTTTGAAGGTGCAAAGTTGGAAGCCATTTCATGTCATATTTCCATCAAGAAGATTAGCAATTTGCAAATAATTGAGATAACTAATTCTTAAAAACAATAAGCAATATATATAGAATTAATAAAATTTGAAAAAAGATAAAAGAGGATGTGAAATATGAAAATGGCCTTCTATCCTTTTGATATATCAGGACATTAATTAATTTGATTCGGCTTAATAAATTTTTAATTTATTTTTTACAATCAAACTTAAAATTAAAATTGTAATTATTATTTATATTTATAAATCAAATCGAATTGATTAATCTACCAATGGAATTAGATCAATTCAGTTTCATTTTTCAGTTTTTTATTATGTGCGCTAATTTATTAATTTCTATTCTGAAATATTAATAATAAAAAATAAAATATTATTGTTATAAACATATTGTTTTAACTCTTAGCAACTTTCTAAACAATTTCATAGAATATATTTCGAAATAAACAGTTAAAAATATTTCCTCAAAATTAATTTATTTTATTTGATAGTATATTTTTATTTATAAAATATTAAATAATATTTTTTAATAAAGATATCGGTTTATAAAAAAAATAATTGAGTTCAAATTTTTATTTGAACTTGATTTATTTATACCCTAATAAAAGTAAAATTAGCTATTTTAGTAATAGACATCGGTTGATTTGCTCCTTCCAATCCTAAATAATAGCATAAGCACTATATTATGGAATACTAAAAATAATAAAGGTTTTAACCTTTGAAACACTAAACACAATGTTCAAAGCTATTGAGTTTTTTTAAAAAATTTTTTTAGAAAATTACTATTTTATTGTTCTATTTTGTCAAAATGCATATATTTTTTTTTAACACATAGGTGTCCTTAGCTAATTGACTCGTGCCGCGTCTTTTTCAATAAAACAAAATTATATAATTAAATATGTATAATAACCATAATAAGAAAAAAAACAAGTTTATAGTTGTTACTTCAACATAATAAATAAAAGAAAAAAAAGTCAAAAAGTCAAAAATTAACTGTTGAGAATATAATAATAAACCAAATATAAAAATATAGTTATTGAAAGAAGAACCACATAAATAAAAGAGTATTAAAAATTAAAAGAAATAGAAAACACAAATTGCACAGATGACAATTTGATTTGTTATTTACAATGTTTGAACTTTGATGACATGCAAACTACTAAATAATTAGATTATGTTAAATTTTTTATTTACATTTAAATTAAAAAAAGCAAAGTTAAATAAAAATTTAATTAGATCGGATTCGTGCGAGTTATGTATGTACAGTGGGTTTAATTTTTAACATATGCTACACCCATAAACGGACTAGGTAAAATTTACCTTATTAGGGTCGGATCAAAGAAGACATACAATGGATCGGATTAAATTATCATTCCTATTCTATATCTAAAGTTTAGAGACCAAATGGTTTGGGCCAAACTTGGCCCCTATGGGTCCAAATTTTTTGTCAACAGGTAGAAAGTTGGGTTAACAGGTCCCGAGTAAGGATGTAAGCAGCACGAGTATTCATGATATATGCTTCACTCCAATCCGTTTAATGGATATGAATAGTTATATAAATAGATTTGTAATAATTATGGATAATAAAGTTATTACCCATAACAAATATAATAAGATACAAGTATAGGTCTCTAGGTACATATTATCTAAGGTATTAAATGAGTTTGGGTTTTTATAGTTTAATTTCTGAATATCCTATCCGTTTAAGGTTTACTTTAAATAGATTTACAATGATATAAATAATAAAATTTTAAATGAGTTTAGATACAAATACTTAAAAAGTTACTTAGATGATTTGGAACGAATATAAATAGTAAAAAATTTTAAACAAATACAAGTACGGATAGTTTAAAATTTACGGATATTCGTCCTGTTTTCACCCCTGACCTTAAACCGTGAGCATATAGAAAGTCTCTCTTTCCCATATATCAACATGGGATCAACATAAAGTTCAAGTTCAGGTAAACATCTCGACGTATGCTCAGGTGTTTTTTTTATTTTTTTTTTTATTTTTTTTATTTTTTATCCTTTTAACTCTATATAAAAACTGCAATATTACTGCTCGATAGTATCACAAACTCATTTAAAGACTCTATTGCCCATTATGTTCTTATTAGAATACAACAAGAAAAAAGAATTAAAGACAAAACAATTTCTAAGAATAGGTAGATTTGCAGTTAAGGTGAAGTAAATGAAAGCTTAATCCATAGTATCACAAATAGGTGTCACAGCCAATTAAGAATCATAATTTCAAATTAAATGAAACCAAACAGGTCTTTTCAATTGACTTGACATATGCCTTCTATCTATCTATCTATCTCTATACGTCATTATTCACAAAATATATGAGACTTAAGTATCCTCTGTAACGTAACTGTCATTCATTTGTTCTGTTCTCATTTTTAAGCATTTGTGAAAACGACAGTGCATTTACTCTTTAAAGTAGTGTTGTTTAGGGCATAGGATGGGGTTTTTAAATTTGCAGGGAAGAAGAAACCAAACCATCTCCACATCTATCCTTTTGTAATTCACTCAATTAGTATACAAATCATATTAGGTGTCACTACTTGCTATTGGCCTATACTGACATATATAGTCATTGAATATTCTTTTTCTTTTTCTTATTCATTTATTTATAATATTTTTCTTTTTTAATATGATTCGGAGAGTTTATGTTTCTTAACTCAATATTTTTTTTTCTATTGGTTCCTTTAGATTTGACGTACTTCGGTTCAGGTTCTTTTAATTTAACATTCTTTAGCTATGTTGGATGTATTGGGAAGCCTATTGGTTTTGTTTTAGCTGCTAAGATTTGTTTTTTTTAATTATTATTAATAAAATAAAAATTTGCTGATAAAAAAAAACTTACTATTATAATCTACCTGAATTCAGTTTATGTTTCATTTAAATAAGTTTCATATAACATTTATGAAATTTATGTTGTTATATTTGATATGCTTGTTAATGTATTAATGAAATTTACTATATAAAATGACTAAATGCGTAAATTCATCCTTTTTACTTATCGTGAAATATTTTGTAACATCTTCAACTTTTATTTCGACATATAAAATATTTTTAGATATAAAATTTTATATATTAGACACCTCAACTTATAAAATTAGATAAACACATAGTTGAAAAATGTGAAAATTATTATTTTAATAGTTCATAATCACATAATCTATCTATCTATCTATCTAACTATCTATACTATATAAAAGTGGGAATGAGGGGAATAGTGGGATTGCCGATATTATCCTTGTGAAACTTAAGATACCCTAAAATAACCTTAGTTTTAACCAATTAAAAATTTTTAATCTAAAAATATATATAATATTTCTATAATTTGATTGGATGTTATTTTTGACTTTTTTTTAATAGATAAATAAATATAGTTAAGTAAGTATTTCAAAATTTTAAATTTTTACTATTATTATCTTATTGTGTCTAATTATATTTTATTGCATTATATTATTATGTAAATTAGTAATAACAATTTAATAATATTTAATAATTCATTATTATTATAATTTATAATTTAGCTTCAACATTATTATTTTAAATAATATATGTAGATGGAGCATTTGAAGATTTTTATATTTATTTTAAATAAATATATCTAGATGATTTAGATTTGATTTAAAAAAGGTATGATTAAATTTCTTTAATTATAAATTACAGTCTAATTTGGTTAGCCAAAAATAAGATAAAAAATTATTATTTTTAAACATCTCGAATTTAATTAGTTATATTGATATCTTATATAATTCAAATTTTATTTCTATTAAAGAGTATAATTTATTAAAGATTTTTTTAAAATGCTTTCATAACTTTGATTGGCTAAAAAATAAAAAATTATAATTATTCATAAATATTTAATATGATTTATTAGATGGCTTTCTTATGCTATTATTAACATATATTTATTTACTACAAGAGATTATAATGAAAGTTATTACCAGAACATGTAAATTAATTATAAAATATAAAATTATCATATTAAAATAATTCCATTATATTAATAATTTATATTTGCACTTCACGCATTATTAATATTACCAAATAATCTAACTATGCTAAGATGGAGCATTTTGAAAGATTTTTTATTTATTTTTTAAAATAAATATAATCCTAGATGATTTAAGATTTGATTGTAGAAAAAGGTTATGATTAAATTTCTTTAAAAATTTTATATAAATATACAGTCTAATTTTGGTTAGCGCCCAAAAAAATAAGATAAAAAATTATTACCACATTTTTAAAAATAACTCCCTGCGAATTAATAATTTAAGTTATATTGATATCTTATATACATAATAAAATTTTATTATTTTCTATTAAAAGAGTTAAATTTTATTATATTCAAAGATTTTTTTAATAAAAAAAATGCTTTCAATAAACTTTGATTGGCATAAAAAATAAGATATTAAAGAATTAATAAATTATTCATAATATTTAATATAATGATATTATTAGACTGGCTTTCTTATGCTATTATTAATAAAAATTTATTAATATTAAACATATATTTTTATTTACTACAAGCAGATTAAATAATGAACCCAGTTAATTGACCATAGCACATGTAAAATGTAACTTAATAAGAAATATAAAAATAAGAAAATCTATATAAAATGATTTTATAAAAATTAATTTCGATTCTTTCTTTAAAAAAAAACCCAAAAAAAAAAGGGAAAAAAGAAAAATGAAAGCAAACTAACGTAATAGATAAAAACCGTAATGAGGGACGTTGATAATAGAGCATAAAAAATATTTAAGCGTGGTATATAAATAAAGATGTAATATAGATTTTATTAAAAGCACACTTATTTAATAAAATTTATATTTATAATATAATATAAATAAGTGTAATATAATTTAACCACTTAATTTAATAAAAATTTATATTTTAATATAATATAAATAAAAAATTAAACGAGTATAAAAATGAATATATAACGAGCATACTTAACGTGTAACGCACGTTATAAAGAAAACTAGTGTATATAAAAGCTAAAAGCCCTAAAAATTATTATTGTTAGTGTGAAGAGTTGTATAATATACTAAATTTGTAAATTTTTACAGATATAATAGGTCTCTTCTAAAGTTTAGGATATCAAAGATTTTTTTGTGTCAAATGCAAAGATCACTTTATGTATTTAACCGTGATAAATCAAATTAGATTATTTATAAATCAATCTAAACTCTAATTTGCATAATAAATGCCAAGTAATTAAGTGATTAGATTTAGACCAATTTAGAATAAAAACAAAATTTATTCACTCATGAGTATTTTCACTTACTATTTATTTAAAATTTCAATAACTCCTTTTACACAATTTAGATAATATAATATTAAACAATATAGGAGTTGAATATATTTGTGGTTATCTAATTCATTTAATATTTGTAGAAACAAATTCTAGTTTACCTCTATTCATTGACAGATGCTAGATATAGCAGAAGTGAGTAGAGACACTAATGGCTACAGCCTAGTCCATACATGGTTACCTTTACAAGGAATTTTAACTAAATTTTAATTATTATTATTATTTTTTTAACTATTCGGTGTGTGAAGTCTACATGTCCGACTAATCCAGATTCGGCCGGGGCAAGCCCACAAAGAGGGGTAAAACGCTCCCTCTAGAGTGTTTAAAGGGACTTCATATTCAGGGTTCAAATTCAATACCTGTAGTTAAGAAAGAAGGGATTTCTGCCATCCGTCTCATCCTTTGGGGGTTAAATTTTAATTATCGTAATTGCCAAAAGAACACTTAATTGTAAAAAATAAAAAAAATTGAACGTTTTTTTTTTTTTTTTTTTTTAAAAAAAAACCAGTTTCATTAGAAAGTTTAAGCTTTACAAGTAAATTACAAGTAATCAAACACAAACAAAAAAATAGCATAAACCCTAACTAACTAATTGTTCAACTTTAGCTAGAGTTGATGATGAGATAACCTTTTCTGTCTCTATCCTCTTCTTTTTTCTTGATTTCATGTTTGTTTGCCATTACAAATTACCCATGAAATTGCAGCACTAGCTTGTTTCAGTAATTGAAAAAGAGACTCAAAATGCACTGAAACTAGAAACTCACCCATCTCTTCTTCTTGCTTGTTATAAATATATATATATATCTCTATTGCCTTCTCATTCTTGAATGACAAGACTAATGAAATTTCAATCAAAAGAAACAATTAAACGGGTATACCAAAATTAATTATTTATTATCAGTAATGTTCATTTCCTTGCCAGTCTGGTCTGCCTAATGTGAACTCCAAGCTTGGATTCTTGCCTTCCAAATTAGACCCTAAGTAACTCTTCACCCGATTTGAACTGCATTCCTGCATACATAGTTTCACCCATATACTTTATTTTTTACATTGAAATGATATATTATTTTAAGTATTATTCTTAATCTAATTAATAAATTTCATTTAATTATTTAAAAAGTACAATTCTAATCTCAAAGGAGAACCAAATAAGCCATTAAAGTATATGAAAATGAAAATTTTTACCTCAATTGAGAGTCCAGATCTTTGTTGTGATTGGAATGTAGCTTCTCTATGCTCATCCATGTCATTAGAGTTTGTTTGTGGCCATTGTTCTCTACTACTGACATTTGAATAAGACATTTCTTTAGATTTAACAAGCTTTAAAAATGATTCTGCAAATAGTTATTTCAAATAATACAAAAGAATTGCCATAAAAAATTGTAATTAGAAAAGAGACACAAACAGTTTAAGATTAGTTTTTCTCTTCCTAGGGTTAGGCTTGTAGGTGCAACCAACAAATGGAACCCCACACAGAGGAAATAAATGTAATAATTTTAAGCATAATGTTATTATTGTTCACCTCCACTAAAATTTTAAGCTTCTCCATTTATAGAACTATGAAGTCCAAGAATTAAATCTCACTATAGGTATCAGAAGAACAGTTTGATTGCATTTAGGAAAAAAATCAGAAAATGATTATATATATATTTTTTGTTTTCTTTTTGGTATTAATTACAAGTATCTGCAGTTCTCTAAGTTAAGAATAAATCCTGGTCGCGTTAGGTTGACCTATTAAAAGGGAAAGCACTCCTAATGAGTATTTATTTCATTCGTTAAGGTCAAATCTTTAGAGAAAAAGTGTTGAACCACTTATTTCAGTATTTATTTGTAGGTAATGAATAATTATTTTTCATAATTGATTTTATTTTATATATTAATTTATTCTGCACACCATGTTTTCTTTTTTATTAAAAAATATGAATATTTATTCAATTTTTATAAAATGCATATCAATCCTACACATAAATGTTATCAGATATTTCTCATAAACAAGCACTAGGAGTATAGAAAACCATTGTTCCAACCATTTGGAGCTTTGAATAATTATTGACTCAAATTCCAAAACTAAGAAAATGCCTACTCAAAAAGAATTGCAATTCTTGATTAAAAGAACTTGTATTTTAAGTAGAGACCAAGTGAATTAAAATGCCACCTACTTGTTTTAGTAGATAGATACACCCACTACCTACCCCTACTAAAATTTGCATGTTTCCAATTATTTTAATTAAAGACCAGCCTAGAGGAAAAAAAAATATATATATCTCAAGCAGAAAGAAAGCTTTTCAGGGCTCTATTAATTCCTTGTCAAGCAAAAGATTTTGACTTTTCTAATAGAAAGAATGAGACCTCACATATGCATATAGTAATTAGTGTAGAATGAGAATTAATAGCCTAAGATAGTCTTTAGATAATATTTGATTACTGAATTATTATGAATAATAAGATTTTATTTTATTTTATTTGTTTTAATTAATTGGCTTTGATAAGTAAATTGATAAATTCTCCATTTTAAAGACAATCCTAATATTATTAAATAAATTTTCATTATATTAAATTCTTACTTGAGAGTATATTTTTAATTATTGTGGTATTTAATTAGGTGAACTATGTATTTATGTGTCTAATTAAGAATTTAACCTTTTTGTTAGTCATTGTTGATCACAACATATTCACTATTAGGGAAGTTTTTGCATGTATCTATATTTTTCAAATAGAAGCTACTAATTAAGTACTAACTACCATTCAAAAACTTAACTAATAAGTAAAGATTTTTAGTTGACTTCTTTTTGTTTTTTTTTTTTAAAGTTATTAGACAACAATAAAAAATATTTTTAGAAGGAAAAATTGTTTTTCAGCAAAAAATATAAATAAAATTCTATTTATTGCAATTGTTTTCTATCACAATCTATACTCTTAAGTACTTAGCAAAGGGAAAAAAAAGAAGGAAAAAGAAAAAGAAAAAGAACTAATGGAAGACTAAGGTTATATCTTATGTGAACTTGTTCTAGAAACAATTTGATGTTTATGCCATATGCTTATTCTTAATTCCCTCATGTGTATGTTTTCTTAGTTGACTATATATTTATGGTCTATCTAGGATTTGGTTAAAATGATTGAAAAAAGAAAAAAAAAAAAATTATAATCTATATATCATGAAAACTTGATTTCTTCTCACTTCTAAGATTAATATCAGGAAATAAAAAGATTATTTGTCGAAATAATATAACAATCTCTTTCCATAATATGAAATACTTTCAGCTACTGGCTTTATTCTTTAGCTACAATATAAGATAACAAACAGAAAACCTAAATTAGGATCCCCATCCCCACCAAAAAGAGACACCCAAATAAACAATTAATAAAATAATTACTTCAAATACAATTTATTAAACTCATAGTGTTTGCATTACATTCAAACATCTATATATTAAAACTCATGTGAGCACATATGTAATAGCTAAATAATTTTCTTCCATATTTTTCTTTTTCTGTTGCTTCTAAAGTTTGAGGACGAATTTTATAAATAATTTAGACCGTCAAAAGAGATAGAGTTATTCTTATTGCGTACCTTCGTGTTAATTGACCAAAATAACAAAAGAATTTTGAACAAAAATGGGAAAGAACCAACCAAAGGAATATATGAAGGATCTAATATAAATATTAAAATGGGTAAATGGGATACAATAGCATATTTAATTTGAACTTTGAAAAAAAGAAGAGCACTTAAGTCCAAGGAAGTATATAGTCTTTTTAGTCATGATATATATGCTGCAAGGCAATGTCCTTGTGGAGGGAATAAGAACCAGAGAGTTTAATAATGATAATTTAATAAGAACAGTAATATGATGTAGTTCCAAAGAAAAAGAAAAAAGTGCATATGTAAATGTGGTTGCTTTCTATTATCCCTAATTATAGTGTGTGTGTGTGTATATGATTTGCATTACTTACTACTTTTTCTTTAATAATTAATTATAATAGCTGCATCAAAGCAAGATAGCTATGGCTACAAATCTCATTTGAACAAAGAAAAGAAAAGCCTTAAAAGAAAAGAAAGAAGAAATCAAACAAGGAAAAAAAAAAAAAAAACTTAAAAATAAAAGAAAGCAAAAGCTGCCACAAGAACTCTTTTATTCTTCAAAAATTTGTGGACGTGGGTTTGCATTTCTAAGCTATAAGAAGGTACCATGCGAAAGTAAAAGGAAACCACAGCATTAGTCCTTTGGTTTCAGAAAAGCATTCATGTCGAGCCTATGAAATACATAAACTCAGAATTTCAAACCATGACAGTCTCTTTCGCTTTCTAAAAATGTTTCAATATATCAAAAACATAAAAAACAAAGAAAAAAGAAATGGTACCTTGAAGAATTACTCCAAAGAGTGGTAGCAGCAGCAGCAGCAGAAGCAGAAGAAGGGAAGTCAATTTCTTGTTGCAGTGAGCCATCTGAAGGGCCTCTCTGATCGGAAAATCGCCGTAGGGCACGGTGCTCATTGCCAGTACTGCCTATTGGAGATAAGTCATCTTCACCAGAACCATCTGATTGGCCTTCAAGAAAAAGAACATTATCAAAAGGGTCAAATAAGCAAAGCATGTATGTATGTAAGTATGCATATGCATAGCAATGCATGTATGACTGTGCCTATATGGGGTAATGTGTAACTGTGTCGTGTGTTAATAATAGGGTTTAGTATTAATAGTAATATAAGGAATTTTTTTTGAGAGAATTTTCAAATGGAAGCAGTAAAATAATTACTGAAAATAAATTTATAAAAAAATAAGTAATTTGCAAATAAAGGGGAAGATAATTTAAAAAAAAAATCTTTTTTTTTTTCTTTTAAAGAAAAGGTTAAAATATTGAAGACTAAGCAATACGAATTACCTGAGGAGGCTGCAGGCTTGTCAGTTGTCTTAACAGTCCTATACATCTGCAAAGGCATTGGGAAACATTTAGCAAAAACACCATTCAATACCATACAGAAAACAAGAAAAGAAAAAAAAAAGGATAAAAAAGAAATAAAAACAAGAACTAGATAATACAAGTAATAAAAATAAAAAATAAGTAAATAAATAAAATCAGATCTCTCTCTCTCTCTCTCTGGGCTTCTGGGCTTGTCTTGGATTCATCATTAATCACGAGGTTGATGTTTGATAAGGTAGTAATGAGATGTTTATTATTGAGAAATGATGACTACTTTTGTCTGTTATCATTCTTCTTCTTCTTCTTCTTCTTCTTCTTCTTCTTCTCTTTCTCTCTCCTCTTTCAAAAGCAGAAGCTTGTCTGCCCTGAGACGTCTCAGAACTTTCAGACTACTAATAATATTTTTTTTTTCTTTAATGTTGAATTCAATTTAATTCATTCACTTGCTGCAGCCTTCTTTGGCTACTGCGCCTTTAATTCCATGGAATGAATACACATTTTAGAGAGAGAAAAAAGGCAAAAAAAAAAAAAAAAAAAAAGAGAGAAATTTTTGCTTTCTTTCTTCTTTACCTGTAAATGACCTCTTCACATGAGGCTAATGTTAGATCTTTAACATCCATTAAGTTCAAGAACTGACTTTTGGAGTTGCTCCTAAACAAAACCCAACAAAAAAAAAAAAAAAAAACAATGATAAGAATCAAAATAAAAACATTCATTAAAAAAAAAAAAAAAACAATGATAAGAATCAAAATAAAAACATTCATCTTTAAAATCTTTTAAAACTACTGTATTAAGGGGAAAAAAAAAGAGAACTGTGTGTATACTTTCATGGCCGCCAAGAAGCTCTACAGCATGAACAAATCGATTATGAAGAGTGGTAGTCCATCTCATTCTGGGAGCTCTCATGCTTCTTTTTGTAGGAAGTTTAGGTAAAAATCTTGATCTAATCAACCCATGAGACGCCTCGCCGGATCCAACACCGTATTGGTGGTGGTGCAGTTGGTGGTGTGATTTGAAAGCATCTATTGATAACCCACTAAATCTTGTAGTAGGTGTTAGCCTATTAGTACTGTAAGCAGGCAAAGATTGTTGTTGATGATGATGATGGTGATGATGATTCGCTGTAGACGAGTACATGGGATCTAAACTAGCTCCTCCTCCAATATAATAAGGCACTGAAGAAGAAGAAGAAGATGGATAAGATAACATTGGGTAGAAGCACATCTTTGGATCTTTGTTATCTCTTGACTGTTCTGATGGCAGGAAAGGAAATGAACGGTTGTGATAAACCGGAATACCCTTTATAGGCCTTAAACCATCCGATACATCAAGTCTCGAAACTCCATGATTTAGATGACTTAAATGAGAAGTAGTAGCAGTAGTACAAGTACTAGTGTTGAGACTATTTTGTTGATAATGATAAGGGATATGTGGGGATTCTTGATCGGACCGCGAATTTGATGGATGTGCAAGAGAAAGCTCAGTGTAAGCTTGAGAATCAGATGTAGAATTCCTCATAGAAGTAATAACTGTACTTGTGTTGTTTGATTTGCTCACCAAAAAATTAAAGCTTGTATCTGCTCCGGTTTTGTTGTTGATAATTGTGTTAGAAAGTGAAGAAGGTGAAATATTAGGAGGACTAATATGTAAAGAAAGATCAGGAACAGGGTTTGTAGAGGGTTCAATAAAAACCCCTTCTAAGGGCATTTTCTTGATTCTTTATCAAGTAGTATATAGCCTTGTTTCTCCTTTTCCTTTCCTTTTCTTTTTCTTGGTAGATAGCAAGCAAGAAAGAAAAGAAAATGGCAAGAAAAAGCAGTGCAAGTATATAGTAGTCAAGTGGGTCTTTAATCTTTTCACAAGAATAATTAGTAAATAAAGAGATGGAGAGACTTGGATTTGGTAGATGTAAGAATAAAGATGAAAAGATTTGAAAGAATTTGTTGATTCTTCAAAGACTAAAGAAACTAGTGAAGAACAAGAAGAAGAAGAAGAGGAGGAGGAGGAGGAACAAAGAGAAAGTGTGAAGGGAAGGATAAGGCAAAGAGAGCTAAAGACTCATAAATCTTCTTTAACAAACAAACATGCTCAAGAAAGAGAGGAAGAGAGAGAGAGAGAGTGTGTGTGATGAGTGAAAGGTAGATACAGAGAGAGAAAGAAAGAAAGAGAGGGCATGTGTGTTGTCAAGCTAACAAAGAGAAAAAAAAAAAAAAAAATTATATGTTATGAGAAATTTAAAAGGAAAAAAAAATTCCAGAAAGTGCACAGAAAGGAAAGGGCAGTGAGAGAGAGGATTTGGGTCTGGTGCACCTCGAGAGTATATCTTGGAAAATGACACTAGCTAGGGGAGGAAGAACACAAGGTCTCTCCATCTGTCTCTCTCTTTGGTCAAAACTTTAAAAATAATTAATTAATTTATTAAATTAAAGAAATTTAATTATTTATAAAGATAATATATTATTATCAACTTATACCGAGATCCAAGATGAGTGATTCGACACTCTTTTTTGAAGTAAAGTCGAAATTGTTATTTTTATAAAACGAGTAAATATTAACTTAAATATTTTTATCTCTTGGTGAGTCAATATATACAGTAAGTTGAAATGCGGTTAAAATAAAAAATTATATTTTTTAAAAAAGATTGACCTGTAGACCGGATCTATAAATTCATTTAAAAAAAATAATGAAAAATAAATTTTTATCGAAACAATGATATTTCTGACAATATATTAAAAAAATAAGTAAAAAATAATATTTTAAAAAAAATTCTTAGTTGATTTTGGTATATAAAAATGGACCAATCTAATAAACAAGTCCCATCCATTCAAAAAAAAAAAGTACCAAAAAAATATGGTGACTTTGGTTTTCTTTCCCCGTAGACGACGGGATATAATAAGTTAGAAAGAGAAAGACTCTCTTGTCTTTGATTCTTTTTCCCCCACCCTATTCGCCTCTCTCCTCCTCTTTCTTTGCTATATATTATTTATTTTATTGAATTAAAAAAGATATATAATTAATAATAGTAGGTATTGTAAGTTCCATGCAATAAAAAAAAGTACATGTACAATGTTTTTTATAATAATATATTCTTAATTTTTTAAAAATGTCAGGAGATATTGAGATTATATTCCAAAACATTAATAATAGGAAAATAAAATATTTATATGGATAGAGGGCATTGACCTTGTTGGTGAGAGAGAGAAAGACCCACAAAGGGGTTTTTGTTTGGATTCAAAGTGTACACATCGTAAACCCTAAATCAACATTACCTTCTAATTCCTTTTCATACTCTCCCAAATATTCCTTTCTAATCTTTCAACAACCTTGTCCACCATGCATCATGGCTTTCTACTACTACAATTATTATTATGTCATATATATATATATATATTTGCTTTGACAGATTAGCTAGCTAGGGTTTCCAAGAATCAAATATTAATCTTTAATTAGTTTATATGGGATCTCTTACTCTTATATTGGGAACTAAACCCTTTCTTTAAATGTTGTCTTCGGAGATGATATATTTATTTATTTATATCTCACTGGTTTGGTTTTTTTATGATGTATATGTTTATACTTTACTAGTTTTTTTTTATGATTTGTCTTGCACGTTGACTATACTCGTTACATATTTGTACTCTTTTAATTTTTTTTATCTATATAATATTAAAGCATAGGTTTTTATTTAGATTAAAATAGATATAATTGCTTAATTTGTATTAGATTTCGTCGTACAAACTACTTATAATGATACTTCTTATATATTTAATTTTATTTTTTTTATAATGAAGTGGTCTCAAAATAAAATTCAAGACAATCTTTAGACTTAATCTTTCAATCTCTAATTTACAAATGCATATTCTAAAAATCTTAATAAGTGCTCTAAAAGAAAATTAAGCTATCACTCAATCTCCAACCTTCTGCCCTCAACCCCAAATCAATATCTATGTACAGCTATAATGAAAAATAATAATAAATTATTTTTTTCTGCTAGGTAAAGAAAAGAAACGAGAAGATGATTTGAATTAATAATGGTAATTAGTTTGACTATAGTGACAGTATTACTTATCCAATACATTAGAGAAAAGAATGTATGCACATAAAACGCAAATTCTTGAAATATTCAAAAGTGATCCAAAACAGAAATATATAGTTCTAGTTTTTTTCTATTTTCATAAACACTATTTTTTTTCAAGTCAAACAGATTTAGAATATAATAGAAAAAATGTCAAGAAAATAAGAACTATTTAATCATCAAGAGGCCATCTATTTATTGCAAGGAAAATATAAATCTTTTTACTAAATTAAAGTGATAGCAATTACAAATTAATTCACTAACGAAAAAGAAAATAACAAATAAAAAAAATTGTTATTAAGAATAACTCTATTGAGAATTGAACATAAAACAAGAAACAAATTATATTAAAAAATTACCAATTTGAATTTCAAAAATCAATCCCTTCTTTAACTAGAAATGCTGTAACTTAATGAAAATTGATATTGATAGACAAAAAAAAAAAAAAAAAAAAGATAGACAAAAAAAAAAAAAAAAAAAAAAAAACTATAACCAAGCCAATAAATAGAAATTACAAAACAAATGATACTAGGATCTAATTTTATTTCTCTATTTTCCTAGCTGCAAATTTAAAATAAATAAATAAGTTAATTAATTAATAAAAAAATAATACATAAGAGAAATGTTTTATTCTCTCCAAATAAGCCCTCAATTTTCCATACAATCATACAAGAAAAGAATCATATACTTTTTTCTTTTTTATCTTTCCCTTAAATAAAATATTATATATATTCTATTTAAAAATTTATTTTTAAAATAATATAAATCATACAAACGTAAAAAATATAAGGAATAATAAAAATAATATATTTTCTCTTTTTTATCTCCTAAATAAAATATTTTAAACTATAATCAAAATAGGATCAAATGTTTTAAAAATAAAATATAAAAATTTTCAAATATCTCATTATAATGTATATTTAACAAACAATAAATTTTAAAAAGATAAAACTTAAAATTTTGAAATTCTTAATTATCTATGTATAGTTATTTAAAAAACAGTTTTTGTAAATTATATCCAATCAAATAATAAAATGTAATTTTCTAATTGCTATGGCTAATGTTATTTTAGAATATTTTAAACTTCATCAAGGGCGCTATCGAAAATCTCATTATTTTCTCATTTATATATAATTAGTCTTTTGTATGACATGTATTGCATGTTGACTATGTTTGTTATATATTCATTTTTTTTTATCTATATAATGTTAAAGCATAAATTTTGTTTAGATTAAAATAAATACAAGTGGTTAATTTGTATTACACTTCACCGTACAAACTATTTGCAATGCTATTTTTTATGTACTTAATTCTATTTTTATATAATGAAATGGCCTCTGAATAATATTCTACAGAATTCTTAGACCTAATCCTTTAATCCCTAATTTATAAAATGCATATTTTTAAAATCCTAATAGATGCCCAAAAAGAAAATCAAGTCATTACTCAATCTCCAAACCCTTACCTTCAACCCCAAATCAATATTTATATACAGTTATAATGAAAAATAAAATAAATTATTTTTAAAAGATAGGTAAAAGAAAAGAAATGAGAAGATGTTTTAAATTGATAATGGTAATCATTTTGATTACAGTGGTCATATGACTTACCCGGTGTATCAGAAAGGAATATATGCATATACACAAATTCTTTAAAAAAATCTAAATAAGTGACTCAAACAGAAATATATAGTTTTAGTTTTTTTTTTTTCAATTTCTTAAACATTGTTTTCTTTTAAGTCAAAAAGATTTAGGATATAAGAAAAAAAATCAAGAAAAATAAAAATGTTTAATTATCAATAGGCCATCTATTTATTACAAGGGAGATATAAATTTTTTACTAAATTAAAATAATAGTTGTTACAAATTATTCAATAATGAAGAAGAAAATAAAAAATTATTATCAAGAATAAAATTTTTTCAAAGCCCACCTAAGAAAAAAAAGTTTCAATGTTTATAAATATGTAAATAAAATATTATATATATTTTGTAAATTAAAACTTTCAACGGTTTGTCATTTAATTACGTAAATTCTATTTTAGAATTTACTTTTTGAAAAATATATTTAATAAAATAATATACTTTTTTCTTCTTTTTTATCTCTCTTCTAAATAAAATATTATATATATTTTAGAAAAAATTATTATTACATATGGTCAAATACACTAGTCAAAAACTATTTTTTTTAAATACATTCTTACATCCCTAACTTTTGCTCCCGTCCAATCAAAAGAGAGATAAGACTCTTTTATGACTAGTATGCCCTTAAACACTTATCCTGTCATCTAAATTCCCAAAATCAGCGCTACATGCTCATTCTTTCTTCAGTTTCAGATTCAAGTCTCTCTATGATGGGCTCCAGCTCCACCCCGACTCTATTGATGGCTGCAGTAATTTTTCGGTTTAGTTTCCGATTTCTCGATGGGTAGATATGGTTTTGTTGTCTGGGTCAGGTGGAACCCGAAAGATTGTTTATTTAGTTCAAAGAAACTCGTTTTAGATCTTAATAGAAACTTGACTCTCACTTTCTACGTTCTTGTTTTTCTGTTTCGGAATTGAGGGTTGATGGAGTCGGCATATGGTATGATGATATGCAGATCGTCGATCTGGAGACCCGAAAATGTTAATATTTGGGATGTTTCATTAAGGAAAATGTGATTTATTTTACTGGCCACACACTTGCAATAATATGTGTAAAACGGGTTGGAGATGGATTTATTTATGCATAATATTTCTTTTTCCTTTTTTTTTTTTTTTTTTTTTTTTTTTTTTTTTTTTTTTTTTTTTTTTTTGTCTGACTGTCAATGAAATAGTTAGATAATCACCATTCCTTCAAAGAGAATTAAAATTATAAATAACTGTTAAGCTAATTAATCTCCAAGAACTCACTATGTTATAAAGTTTGATCATTCTTCATTAGGATCTGACGATTTTAGGTAGTTAGGTGGCTATGATGATATTGGTTTAAATAAAGGATGTTATTGTCTTTTTAATACAAATTAACGGTAAAAATTTTAACAATTGACGGAAGAACTAAATGATTACACGGAAGCAAAAGTTAGAGATATAATAATTTATTTTAAAAAAACAGGTCCTGACTAGTGTATTTAACCATTATATATGGACGTAATAATAATTTTTTTCTATATTCTATTTGAAATTTTGTTTTTTCAAAAAATATATTTAATCAAATCATACAAACGTCCAGGTTTGAATCAAATGAACATCGTTTTGA